TCCATACAAATAAAATTAAATAAATTTCATATAGAATCACAAGGGACTCTGAATAGCCAAAACGATATTGGGGAAAAAAAAAGTTGGAGGTCTCAAACTTCCTGATTTCAAACATATTTCAAAGCTACATTAATCAAAACAGTGTGGTACTATTATAATGACAGACACAGACCAATATGATATAACACACAGTCCAGATGTAAACTCTCACATATATGGTCAAATGATCTTCAACAGAGCATGCCAAGACCATTCAATGGGGAAAGTACTGTCTTTTCAACAAACAGTGCTGGAAAAATTGGATATCCACAGGCAAAAGAATGAATTTGGACCCTTACCTTACATCATATGAAAATTAGCTCAAAATGAATTAAAGACCTAAATCTAAGACCTAAAAATATAAAACCTTTAGAATAAAACATAGGGAATAACCCTCATGACATTGTATTTGCTGATTATTTCTTAGATATGACCCCTAATGCACAAGCAAGAAACTCCAAAGTAGACAAATGGGACTATATCCAATTTAAAACCTTCTGTCCATCAAAGGACAAAATCAAACTGAAAAAGCAACTTACAGAATAGAAGAAAATACTCACCAATCATACATCTGGTAAGAGGGATTTAAAAATTTTTTATTTTATTTTATTTTTTAATTGAAGTATAGTTGATTTATGATAAGAGGTTAATGTACAAAATATATTTAAAAACTACAACTCAGCAACAACAAGAATTCAATTAAATAACAAATAACTCAATTAAAAATGGGCAAAGGACTTGAAAAGACACTTTTCCAAAGATGATAAATGTCCAATAAGCATATGAAAAATTCTCCACATCATAATTATTAGAGAAATGCACATCAAGACAACAATGAGATTTCACCTCATAGCCATTAGGATGGCCAGTATTAAAAAAAACCAAACACAATAACAAATGTTTTTAAGGATGTAGAGAAATTGGAGCTCTGCACTGTTGGTGGGTATGAACAATGGTGCAGCAGCAACTATGGAAAACTGTGTAGAAGTTCCTCAGAAATTAAATATAGCATTATTATATGATCCAGCAATCCCACTTCTTCATCTATATCTAAACAAATTCAAAGCAAGATCTCAAAGATATATTTGCACACCCAATTCATAGGGGCACTCTTCACAACAGTCAAGAGGTGGAAGCAGCCCAAATGTCCATTGACAGATGAATGGATAAACTAAATGTGGTCTATACATATACAGCAGAATATTATTCAGCATAAGAAGGAAGGAAATCCTGTCACATGCTACAACATGGTTGAGTAGAGGATATTATGCTAAGTGATTTCGTACAGTTGCAAAAAGACAAAAAGTGTATGATTTCACTTATATGAAATCTTTGAAGTAGTCAGATTCATAAAAACAGAAAGTAGAATGATGATTGCAGGGGTTGAGTGATATAGAAAAATGGAGAATTGGACAGAAGAAGCAAGATGGTGGAGTAGAAGGATGCTTGTAGCTCACCCTCTCCCACAAATACACCAAAACTCAAATCCACGGACCCACTCAGCCAACCAGAACACCTGCCGAACTCTGACAGAACATCGCCTTCTTTGAAAGACAAAGATGCCAAAATCTGGTAGGAAAAAAGGAAAAAAGAAGGAAAAAGTAAAACAGTGCAGGATGGGTCCCATGGGGCAGGAGTGGCAAAGGAGGACTGGTGCTCGTTCTCTGAGTCTCCCCTTTCCAACAGAGAGGCCAGTGGGATGGAGGAGGAACCTCCGAGACTCAGATCTGCCCTGAGCACCCCTTGACTGACAGAACTGAGTTAAACGGGCACAAAGGGTTCCCACGACACCCAGACCAAGACGCGACCCAGCAGCTGGGGCTGGGACAGGCTGCCCTAATCGGACGGAAGACTGTGGCAGCTGCACTGAAGCAGCCCCAGGGGACTGCAGGGGGCTGCACACTGTGGCTGGGAGGTGATATGGAGCAGAACAACCTCAGTCCCCCATAAATTGCAAAAAAAGAAAAGCAACATGGCTGGTGTGCTCTGGGGGTAGGGGCGCCATAGCCTTTGTCTCCTCAGACCTGCACCACCATTATTGGCGCTTCTTGCGAGAAGAGAGGTGGGGCTCAGCCACAGCCGCCGCCTCCTTCTGTGCGTGCGCCTGGGCGGAGGCAGGCCGAGACCTGAATCCACACCCAGAGGATCCACAACCTCCTAGACAGGACTGAGACTTGTTTACAGCTGGAGGCAGATAGGATCTTTCTGCCCTGGCACCTCAGAGATCTTGTGCCACCAAGACAAACAAGGAGCTGAGATTTGACATGAAGCAGAGGCGGGGCCATTCCTTGGTCTTCCCCGAGCCCGCCTTTGGAACACTGACCGGAGGTGGAGCAGGCAGCTGCACAGAGCAGCGCAGTGACCGGCGCTGGGAAAGGGTGGACAGCAACTGGCTTTCTTGGCAGGAATGCAGCACCTGACCACAATGCTGGGAGGGGGCGTGATCCGCCCAACTGTCTCCCCCGAGTGCAGCATCTGACTGCGGCATTGGGAGGGGGAGTGACCTGCCTGCCCACTGGATAGGAGCTCAGCACCTGACCCAGTGTTGGGAGGGGGCACGATCTGCTAGCTGACAGCCACTGGGAGCAGCACAGACGAGGGCAACAAGACAGAGGGCCTCTGGAAACAGCAAGCTGAGTTCATGAAACACAGCGAAGACACAAAGACCTCTCAATAAAATCATTAAGAGCACAGCATCTCCAGGAGAACTAGATAACTGATACTCCTTAAGCCACAGTGCCAGAGAGATATGAGCAATATGAAGAAGCAGAGGAACGACTCCCAATTAAAACATCAAGAGAAATCCCCTGAAAGCATGATCAAGGAAATAGACATTGATGGCCTATCAGATCAAGATTTCAAAGAAAGAGTGATCAAAGTACTGAAGGAACTAAAAGAAATAGTGTTTAGAGATATAAAATATGTCAAAAATGAAATAGAAGCTATAAAGAAGAACCAAGTAGAATTAGTAAACTCATTTGCTGAGATGAGAGCTGACCGAAAGGCTGTACAAAGTAGGTTAGATAATGCAGAGGAACGAATAAGTGACCTAGGACCAGGACAACAGAAAGCACCCAATCAGAACAGATGAAAGAAAAACAAATAAAAAACAATGGAAACAATATAAGGGACCTATGGGATAATATAAAGCGTGCCAATCTACACATAATAGGGGTTCCAGAAGGGAAAGAAACAACAATGGGGATTGAAAAGGTATTTGAAGAAGTCATGACTGAAAACTTCCCAAACCCAAAAGAATCAGATATCCAAGTACAGGAGACTCAGAGAAGAACCCAAACAGACCCACACCAAGACATATTATAATCAAGATGGCCAGAGACAGGGATAAAGAAAGATCCTAAAGGCAGCAAGAGAAAAACAAAGAGTGAGTTACAAGGGAACCCCCATAGGGCTCTCAGCTGATTTCTCTACACAAACACTACAGG